AGTGCAGGCATCCCCTATCAGAGCGTCGGTTCCAGTTCTGGCTGCTCCACTTCCAACCCTGCCGTCATGTGGGAGATCCAGGTGGAGCTCCTGGCTCCTGGCTTTGCCCTGGCCCAGCCCCAGCTCTTGTGGCCATTTGGGGAGTGAATCAAGAGATGGAAGATACCTCTCCCCACCTCTGCCTTCCAAATAAATAAATAAATCTTAAATAGGAAAGGGATTTGTGTGCTTCTGAGGTGACAAAAGCTGGAGCACTCAGTGCCTGTCTGGATGTGGAGGATGAGAAAAATGGGAATTTTTGAATGGCTCTCTGACTTTAGGGCTGGGCAGTGGGGTGGAAAGTTGTCTTTCCCTGAGAGAGAGAAAGCTGGGAGAGACACTGATTCGGGGTTGTGATCATCATTTCAAACCAGACTGAGTGTGTGATCGCAGTGAACACCCAAGAGTAGAGGGGCATTGACTGGGAAGGATAACTGGAGCTGGCAGTGTGTACAGTTGTTGAAGTTGTTGACTCATACAGTGAACATCAAGGCACACAGTCAAAGTCCACTTCGTGAATGTGAACTGTGCAGTCCTGGCAGGGCACTCTCAGAAGGGCCTCTCATTTAGTTTAATGCTCTGTGGTCACCATGGTGAAGTTCTCAGTTTTTAAACAAGGGTTCCTGCATTTTTGTATTTTGCACTGAACCCTGAAAGTATGTAGCGAGTTCTGCCTATAGTGGCTTGACCCTGCCTGTGGGCTATAGTGGGGCTACACTGTTGATCAGGGTAGACATGCTTTGTGCCTTACAAGCTTCCACACTGCATGGAAGGAAGACAATAAACAGTTACAAATGTATGTAGGAGAGGGATCTCCTTAAACCTTGAGTGCTAAGGAGTTAGCAAATGAGATTGCCCAGGGGGAGAGAGTAGTGAGAGTTGTAGCCCACAGTACCAACAGAGGGTTGGAGACATCTGAGAGGGAGTGTTCCAGAAGCCGGCATTGGGAGAGACCGTAAGATGCTTCCTAGGAGAACAGAATGACGTGGGGCCCAGGGGACAGAGCAACAGTGAGGCCACTTGGTTACTCTACTGAGATGGCACCTTTGGGGTTGGGTGGGCAAAAAGTTAATTTATCACCGTGTGAGGGATCCATGGGACTTGAAGAAACACAGAACCCAAACACAGATTATTATTCATTTATAAAACTTGGCTTAGTAGGGAAGAGAGGAGGACAGTCTCAGGAAGTGAATTTTAAATGAGGAGAGGATTCTTCTGTTTGGCTTTCACTGTATTTTATTTTCTAGACACAAAATGATTTGAGAATGGTTTTGTGCTGTGGGCAAAGGTCCTACAGAGAGAGGTTGGAAGAGGAGAAGAGGGAATAGCTAAGCGATGCTGAGTGACCCTGAGGGGGAAGTGATCACAGACTAGCCACAGGCAGGAAGAGAAAAGGAAAGATGGCTGGGTGAGCAGGTGAATTTCCAGGTTTCCCTGTGAAGTCAACTCCACATTACTTGTTCAAGTGAACATTTGCTGCCTCTTAGCTTTTTTCTCTTCTTTTGGAGACAGGGGAGAGAATGCACAGTAAAACATGCTTCCATCCGTTCATTCACTCCCCAAGTGCCCATGATGGTCAGAGCTGGGTGACGGCCAGGGGCAGGAGCCAGAACTCAATCCAGCTCTCCATTGTGGAAACCTTTCCTCCCTGGGTGTGCTTTATTTTTTATTTTTTTTTAATTTTTTTTGACAGGCAGAGTGGACAGTGAGAGAGAGAGACAGAGAGAAAGGTCTTCCTTTTGCCGTTGGTTCACCCTCCAATGGCCGCCGCGGCCGGCGCGCTGCAGCCGGCACACCGCGCTGATCCAATGGCAGGAGCCAGGTACTTCTCCTGGTCTCCCATGGGGTGCAGGGCCCAAGCACTTGGGCCATCCTCCACTGCACTCCCTGGCCACAGCAGAGAGCTGGCCTGGAAGGGGGGCAACCGGGACAGAATCTGGTGCCCCGACCGGGAATAGAACCCAGTGTGCCGGTGCCGCAAGGCAGAGGATTAGCCTAGTGAGCTGCGGCGCCGGCTGGGTGTGCATTAGCAGGAATGCTGGCATCAGAAACCAGAGCAGAGAATAAAACCCAGGCACTCCAATGAGGGACACAACCATCTCAACTACTAGGATAAATGTTCACTCCCTCTGTTTCTAAATTCTGTTCTCCTCCTACTTCAAAATGGAGGAACAGCTTTTAAGTTCTCTCGCTCAGCAGATACTCACTGGGCTCCTGCTACATGGCAGGCATGGTGCTAAGTTTTTAGAATGGAAGAGTGAACAAAACAGACAAGGCCCTCGCTCCCTCTGCTGCCCCAGGATTTCAGGGCTCTTCTTGATTCTGTAGGGTGAGGTCCTGACCTAGTCTTTCATGATCTGCCTCCCCTTCAAGTTCTGCAAGTTTCACCATGCCAAATCTTGTCTCTTAGGATAGTTATCCTCAGCCGGTCATTAGGACAAAGACCCTTTGAATTCACTCACACTGATCTGTGAATGGAGGACGTCATCTTTAGTTGGGAAGGTGATTGCTCCTTACAAATTGTTCTCAGTCTATAAAAAGGATTTGTTTTCCACTTTACTTGAAAGACAGACTTCCCATCTGTTGGTTCACCCCCTAAATGTCCACAGTAGCTGGACCCGGCCGGGCCAAAGCCAGGAGCCTAGAACCCCTCTGTGTCTCCCACATTGGTGGCAGGAACCCAGCTTCTTGGATCTTCACCTGCTGCCTCCCTGGATGCACATGAGAAGGAAACAGGATCAGAAACAGAGCTGGGGCTGCAACTCAGGCACGCTTCTGTGAGCTGCTTAACTGCTGAGCCAAATGCTTAAGGTGTAGAAGGGATCTTCAATTTGTCATATTTCAGGCAACATAATAAGGGAAGTAATTAGGAATAGAAGGAATATGACAGCAAGGGCACCGTCTTCTCGGATTCCCTCAACTTTTCCCTTCTCTCACAGCGTCCATTGTCTTTCCTCCTGGAGTGTCAGACAATCTGTAAAGCCACGAAGATTTTTGTTGTTATTTCTTCCCCTGCCTGCACCCCTCCACTGGTTCCTATGATAACAACCACTGGGGCACAGGTGATATAGGGTCCTGGCTGGGATTGTGACCGCTGCACCTGTTTACAGGGACTTTTCCCATGTCGGGAACTGGCTTTACATGTGGGAGGTGGGGAGGAATACCTAGGGGGGCTTCTTGGCCTAAAGAAGCTGAATCCCCTAGAATCACCCAGGCTTCTGTCCAGAGTTGAGCTCATCAGAAGCATTTCCCAAGTGTGTGGGTCAGGTCTCTAGTTTCTGGCTGACTGGGGCCAGGGAGCTGTTTGATCTGTATAGCAACCAATCCCCTGGGTCGCTGCCAGTTATCATAGAAATGGCAACATTCGGCCCTGGCTGATGGACAGTTGGGAAGTGGCTGCCAGGAACCACTTTGGAAGCACAAGGCACTGCTGGGAATAGGCCCAGGAAAGGTTGCTCCACAGTTTCCGAGCCTGGTAGCCTTAGACTGTCTGCTTTGGGAAACTCCATTCTCTCAAAAAACCCTTGAGTCAGCAGCACAGGTTTTGGAGTGTATGAATTTCCTGAGCTTTAGGAAGAGATGATAGTAGGTTTTTCTGGACTTGAGGTATCATCCCAGAAATGCCAGGGTCTAGGTGAGACATTCCCAATTTTTCATGAGTTGCCTGGGGATCTTATTACAACAGATTCTGCTACAGGTGTAGAAGCTGTTTGACATTCTGCATCTCAAGCTCCTAGGCGGGGCCCATGCTAGACTCTTTGAATAACAAGGATCTGGAGTTGTACTGTCTAATGCAATAAGTACTAGCCACGTGTGGCTGCTTAAACTTCAACTCATTGGCCGGCGCCACGGCTCACTAGGCTAATCCTCCACCTTGCGGCGCCGGCACACCAGGTTCTAGTCCCACTCGGGGCGCCGGATTCTGTCCCAGTTGCCCCTCTTCCAGGCCAGCTCTCTGCTGTGGCCAGGGAGTGCAGTGGAGGATGGCCCAAGTGCTTGGGCCCTGCACCCCATGGGAGACCAGGAGAAGTACCTGGCTCCTGCCATTGGATCAGCGCGGTGCGCCGGCCGCAGTGTTGCTGGCCGCGCCGGCCATTGGAGGGTGAACCAACGGCAAAGGAAGACCTTTCTCTCTGTCTCTCTCTCTCACTGTCCACTCTGCCTGTCAAAACCTTCAACTCATTTAAAGTAAATTTTAAATTCAGGTTCTTGCTGCACTAAGCAGAGTTTGGATGCTCAGCACTCATATGTGGCTAGTGGCTGCCATATTGGACTGCACAGATGGAAACATTACGATGGTCACAGCAGGTTTTTCTGAATAACCCAGCACTAGCGTTAGCCTCTCCTGCATCATTCACTGGTTCTCCATTTGTTCACTGACTTTTGTTGTGTGCCAAGTAGCATGCTTGGCATTGGGGTGGTAAGGCACAGGTTTTTTTTTTTTTTTTTTTTTAAATCATATGGGAGCCAGTGTGTATTTGGCCTAGAGGTGAAGATGCCCGTGTCCCACACTGGAATATCTGGATTCAAGTCCTGGTTCCAGCTCCTGATGACTGCACCCTATGTGGCAGAGGTGACTGCTCATGTAATTGGGTTCCTAACATCCATGTAGGAGACTTCGTTAAGGTCCTGACTCCTGGCTTGGGCCATAGCACAATCCCATTGCAGGCATCTTGGAGTGGACCAACTTATGGAAGTTCTCTCTTGTCTGTCTCTTCCTACCTGTCAAGTTTTTAAAAAAAATGTTTACTTATTGTAATCAACCTAGAATGCAATGTACTTAAAATAGAGATACCCCCAGTGGGTGAGGGATGTAGTCAGTAACCACAAACTCTGCCTTACAGGTTGGAGGCAGAAGTATCTCCTGATATTTCATGTGTAGTCTGATCCAAGCTGTGGCTGTCACAGAATGAGCGTGTTTATGAGACTGGCTGCTGACACTGCCTTTTCCCCCATTTCAGGGCCATAATCATTAGAAATGGAGAAATCATCCCCATGTCTTCGGAATTCACCCCCGAGACTGAGCGCCAGCGACTTCAGTACCTGGTAAGAATCCTGTAGGTCTGGCAGAGGGCAGCGGTGTCAGGGATGCCTTTGGAGCTGTTTTGGGGGACCACATTGCTGTTGACAAGGGATCAGACCCACAGCAGTCAAATGACATGTAGTACTAAACCCCCCACACACCCTGGCTCCGTGTGTGGCGACATACTCCATGGCCATGAATTGATTATTGAGGCAGATTTTCTCCCATGCATGACCAATGGAAGACACCATGTGCTCTGTTTCTTTTCATAATTTGGTGTGTACAACATGAAATGCTCTGTGTGAATCACTGGCACCCTACCTACTTCCTTGAGCTCAGAGAGGAAATCTCAGGGCCCTTTGGGGAAGGTGCAGGTGTTGCACAATTTGCGTCCACCCTGAAAATAAATTCCCTATAGCTCTCCATCTTTGGAGTGAAATCACGAAAGGACTATGGAATGGCTTTGTTTCCCTCAGAAACCTGTCTTCTAGGCAGTAGGACAGACTCCCTTTTCTGTCCTTGAATTCCAGGGACAAGATGTTAGGCTTAGAATCCCAATTATGAGGGACTTTGGTGATCATCCTAGGTCACTCTGGGGCAGACGTCTCTGGGGACTAACCCTGGGAGCAGTAATTCTGTGGATGAAATGTCTCCTTGCCAACTGGACTTCTTTTTAGGCAACATGGGCAAAATAGTGGCCACCTGCTCTTAGGAAAGAACTGGTACAGGCAACTCAAGAAGGGCTTTGTTCACATCTCTGCACCTCAGTGTGTGATTGGCCAGGATTCGATCACTTGGGTTGTTTTAAAACACAGTCATGCGCTTTCCCTCAGTTTCTCTGTTTTTGTTGGCTTTGTTCTATTACTAAGCTTTGTCACTTTGCTAAGTTATCTGGTGTATAAGATACCAGGGATCCAGAGCCAGTGTCAAAACAGTGCTTCAGTCTTTTACCTACTATTAATTTCTAATCTTTTTGCTGTTGTCTTCAAGCTAATATGAGAGCACTTCAAAAGTTGGGCACAGTGGGGTAAGCCACCATGTTGGATGCCCATATCAGATTACCTGGCATCAAGTCTCATCTCCACTTTCATTCTGTCTCCCTGCTAATGGTCCTGGAAAGCAGCAGATGATGGCCTTAGTGCTTGGATTCCTGGCTTCTGGCTTCAGCCTGGCCCAGCCCTGGCTGTTACAAGCATTTGGGCGAGTGAACTAGTAGATGGAAACTAACTTGTCCCCCCTCCCCTTCTCCCTCTCCCTCAGTCTGCCTTTCAAATAAATACATCTTTCCTAAAAAATAGAATTTAAAGGTAATTTCATTTTAGTGCAGAAAAATTGAAATACCTGCATATTTTTCAAAATACATTTTACATGAACTTTTTGAAGATCCTGCATGTGCATGTATTTTAATGTTTTTTCACCAAAATGTATCTATTGGTCCATTTTTCCATGAACTTTTTGAAGTGCTCTTGTAGATTTGAAGCCACCAATAGGGAGTCTAGACTTTAGAGTGCTTTCGTTCCTTTAGTGGTCTGTGGAAGGAATCCTACAGTAGCTGACTGATCGTTTAGGTCCCAACGCCATTGCTCACTGGATAGGTAGCTTTGTGCAAGTCTCTTAACCTTTCTAGATGTCTGTTTATCATTTGTGAAGTTGAGAGCTACACTGGAGGGTCATCAAGGACCCTTGAGGTGCAAGGGTCCCTCCAAGCAGAGACCATAACAGCTGGCCTTTCTACCGCCTGTCTTTCTCTGTCTTCCACAAGGCCATCCAAGTGATCTTATCGCAGACCTTGTCACTCCCCTACCCAAAAGCCTTTGGCTCCCCACAGGAACAGAATGCTGGCCAAACTTCCCGACAGCCCTAGAACCCTGGCCCCTGCCCACTTCTCCAGCTCCCTGTCAACATGCTTCCCACACTGCAAGCCACAGAGCCAACTTCCATTCCAGGGCAGGTCGTGATCTCTCCGACCTAAAGGCTCTTGGAAGTGAATTCTGCCGGGACAGCCTTTCCCTTCTTCTCTGCCAGGAAATCTCCTCCTCCCCCCCCCCCCCCCCCCCAGCCTTAGAAGTCCCAGCACAAATGTCACTTCTTCTGGGACAAGTCCTCCAGTCCTCCCAGGGAGTTAGTCTCCAGCGTCTGTGTAGCAGTGTCTGGAAGCCTGCAGGGCATCTCTCAGCATAGGGTGTTTAATTGCTTTTTCAGATCTCCATCTTCCGTTCCAGACTGAGTTTTGGAGGGCAGGGCCTCTTGCCTCAGTCACCTCCTATTGCCAGTACTCAGTTGGTACAGAGGAGATACAAAATCAGTATTGGCCACTTAGTTTGTAAAAATGAACCAATGCTCATATCAGCACCAAGAAGTATTTCCCCTCCACCCCCGCACCTAAACAGCAGAACACCAAGTTTTGCCTCTCTTGTCTCTACTATAACCATCTACATCATCCCCTTCTTTTCATTGAAACCTATATCTTATTCCCTAGGGTTTTCATTTTCTCACTAGAGGCAAGGAATAGTAGCAGGCTAACTTTTTGCATTTTTTATTTTGAAATAATTTTAAACTTTCATAGTTTGAGAATGAATTTGGGAGGTCAAGTTTGAAGGAAGGATGGGCATGATAAAATTCTTCAGCTTCCTGACAATCAGTGGGCTATTTGGGGGCTGTTGGTGTAAGATGTGTGTATCTGCAGAGCTCAGCATTGTCGCTGTGTGTGTGATTTCAAGAAGGCGGCCCACTGAGCCCTAGCCTCATCGTGAGTTCTGCAAACAGAGAACCTGAGAAGGCCATACAAGGATAAATGAAATGATAGATGCAAAATGTCTGGCAATGTTCGCTGAGTCAAAGTCTTAACACTTCAAATCTTAGTCTGTTTGCTGTAATAAAGTACTCTAAACTGGGTGGCTTATGAGCCACAGACATTGACTTCTCACGGATCTGAAGGCTGGGAAGCCCACGATCAGGGCACCTGCAGCTTCAATGTTTAGTACAGACCTTCTTCCTGGCTCATGACAGAACCAGCTTCTCATCACAGCATCATGTGGTGGAAGGGACAAGGATACTCCTGCAGCTTCTTTTGTACAGACATGTGTACCCTTGTGACCTCCTAATATCCCTCAGGCCTCGCCTCCCAACACCATTGCCATGGGGGATTTGGCTTCAGCCTAGGAATTAGGGGGGATTTAAACATTCATGTATGGCAAAATCCTTCTCTGCTGCAGACCACAGGAACATTTTCCCCTGTGTTTATTTAAGAACCACTTCGAATGTTGCTAAGATTAATGTATATTCTGGCATCATTCTTGAACAATCAGTGTGGACACTCTTGGCCCACAGAACTGAGTCTAATTCCTGAATTTCTAAACAGTGAGAACACTGCACACATTCTTTTTAATCCCTACTTCTAAATCAGATGGGTTTCTCAAATTTATAACTGAAACTTTTCTCCCCAGGCATCAGGAGTGTAAATGATCAGAACATAAAATACCCTTGGTTGTCCAAGCTCTTGCTCCATCAGGAGTCGGGGAATGTATGCTTGTGTGTGAACAGATCCAGTAGTCATATTCACATGATGTGACTCTCTGTAGCTAAGCATTAAAGAGAAATGGGATATTTATAGCATAATCTTGTGATGAAGTCTTTTATGGTAAAATATTTGTGAGAATATAGAGGTTTATAGCATAAAATCTTGAAAGTATTATCAACTAGGAGAAGAAAACAGGAATGTGATGTGGCCTCCTCTCAGTCCAGCTCAGCCATGAGCTGTGGGACTCCCACCCCCTCACACATATCCCTGATCTCCTTCTGTCCTGAATAAAACAGGTAGGAATACTTCCTTATATTCTGAAATGGAATGGAAAACTCATCCATGGTAATGTGAAATATAGATGCACCACAGCTCACAGTAGGGTTGCAGTCCAATAAACCCATCATTAAATCAAAAATATGGAAAGTTCAAACCTACCAAACATTTAAGATTTTATTTATTTATTTGAGAGGTAGAGTTACAGACAGTGAGAGGGAGACACAGAAAGGTCTTCCATCCACTGGTTCACTCCCCAGATGGCCACAACAGCTGGAGCTGTGCTGATCTGAAGCCAAGAGCTTCTTCCAGGTCTCCTAAATGGGTGCAGGGTCCCATCTTCTACCACTTTCCCGGGTCACAGCAGAGAGCTGGATTGGAAGAGGAGCAGCCGGGACTCAAACCAGTGCCCACATGGGATGCTGGCACCGCAGGTGGAGGATTCACCTGTTGTGCCACAGTGCCAGCCATACAGCTTAGTCTTACCAACCTTAAACATGCTCAGAACACTTACGACAGCCTGCAGTTGGGCAAAATCGTGAAACACGAAGCTTATTTTATAATAAAGTGTTGAATTTCTTAGGTAATTTATTGAATACTATACTGAAAGTAAAAAGCAGTGTTTTTACGGGTATGCTTTCACACCATGATAAATTCCAAAAAGCATGAGATTGAACCATCATAAACTGAGAACACCTGTGTGGTATAGTGTCTATAATTTTAAATGGGTCTAACCCTAGCAGTTTTTTTTTTTTAGCATCCCTTTCCGTGAACTAATGATGAAACCAGTTAGTGCAGTGAGAGTCATAGAATCGCTTCCCTTTACATGATCTTAACCGGTCAGTGCATTGTGGGAAAATTAACAGCATGCACTTTATACTTCAGTCATATCAGGTTTTATGCTCATGGAGTATGAAGAAACATTTATGAATCAGTAAAACTTCTAGATCCCCCGCCACGTGCTTTTTGAGCAGCGGTCTGCAGTCCTGGGGCTGTTGGAACTTGCAGAAACGATTCATGATTTTCTTGGGGGTGGGGAGGCAAGTCAGAGCCCTTTGTACACGAACTGCTTGGATCCGCATCAGAGAGGAATGTTCTTGGTATGCACAGTCCGGACATTCGGGGATTATAGAACTGGAAGCAGATTACAGGATGATGGATGGAGCAGGCGCGTTAATTTTGTTTGGTCTTGCATCCTGACCTCAGAGGGTCCTTCACGCGGCTCTC